CGAGCTCGGAGCTGACCGGGCCCCGGCCGCGGGCACCGGGCTGACTGGGCCCCGGCCGCGGGCACGGAGGACAGGGACGCCGAGCTGGCCCTGCTGGGCTGCCCTCGGGGTGCGGATGCTCACAGCTGAGCAGCGTGGAGCCTGACCTGGGTCCCAGGACCAAGGGGAGGGCAGAGGCCGAGAAGCCTCAGGGTGGCCAGTGCAGCCCCAGAACCAGCTCCCTCTCTCCACCCCAGAATGCCCGCCTCTGTGCTTTCACACACACACACACACACACATCCCTCTCCCTGGCCAGAGGCCACCCCACTGCACGCACTGGGAGGACTGGGAGTTCCAGCCCCGAGGACCCAGCGAACAGGCAGGAAGCCCTGGGGCAAGAGCACCCAGCGGGAGTGCGGGCCGGGGGGGCGGGGGCGGGAGGGCGTTTGATGGGGGGAGGGGCAGCCCCTGGCCCGGGGCCGGGGTCGGAAAGGCGGGGACAGCGGGGCTGGATCCCGGCCCGGACGGAGGGTCCGGAGTCACGGCTCAGCAAAGGAGCCTTTCTTCCCGCTGGACCCCAGCGGGAAGGGAGGGGACCCGGCCTGGCTGCTCCTCCCAGCCGGCCTGGCGGAGCCCCAGCGGAGCCTTCGGGTGGGGCCGGGTTTCTCGCCAGCACCCTCCCCCGGACTCCTCTCCTGGGTCCTTTCTTCCCCAGAAAGCCCAGCGGAGGGAGAGGCTGGCACAGGAGGCGGGCAGGCGGCCCAGAGGAGCCGGGCCATAAAAGGGCATGAATGGCAGGCTGCCCCCGTGGCTGGCCCCAGAGCCCCCGCCTCGCCCCACGAGGCCGAGCAGGGCTCCTGGAGTCAGCTGTCCTGGGGGGGGGGGCAGCAGGCAGGAGGAGCTGGGACCTGCCCTGGAGGGGCCCCGCAGGCGGCCGGGGCCCAGAGGAGCCTGGGACGGAGGCGGGAGCCGGGTGGGAAGGCCCCTCCTTGGTGAGGAGCTGGGTCTGTCAGGCGGTGGGAGGTGGGGGTTCGAGTGGGAGGCAGCCCTGGCAGGAGCCCGCGGGCGGGGCCGCCTTGGGGAACCTCGGTGGGGTGGGGTCCAGATGTTCGGGCAGAAATTCAGGAAGGAAGGGCTGTAGAGCAGTGTCCCAGAGCCCCCTCCACAGGAACCAGACCTCCCAGGGCAGGGACTTCACTGGTCTTGGCTGCCTCTGCTTCAGTTTCCCCATCAGAAACCACGTGTCCAGCGGCTGAGCCACCTTCACGGGGAAGGCTCATGTGCTCATGTGCTCACTCGACAGACGCTTGCTGAGCTTGCCTGTCGGCCTGGGCGCCGCAGGCGCAGGTGGGCACAGGGGACCCCCTGCTGGGGCGCCCACGAGCCCTCCCCACCTGTCCTGGGAGAGCAGACTCTCCTTTCTTTCCCTTACAATTTTTTTTCTTTTAAATGATCACAAAGAGGGAGAGGGAGGGAGAGACAGAAACATCAGTGATGAGAGAGAATCATGGATCAGCTGCCTCCTGCACGCCCCCCACTAGAGATGGAGCCTATAGCCAGGCACATGCCCTGTCCGGGAATCGAACCATGACCTCCTGGTTCATAGGTCAAGACTCAACCACTGAGCTCATGATTTTCTTAATAACATTATCTTTTCTTTAGATTACTTTCTTGTGAGAATGTAGTATACCAGAGGCCCATGGTGCGAAGATCCATGCAATAGCCTTCCTTCCCTGACTGCCGACACCGGTTTCCCCCGGAACCCGGGACCCCGGCCGGAGCTCCAGCTGCAGCAGAGAAGCCAAGCCTCTTCAGTCTTCGCTCCCCACCTGTGCATGCAAATCAACCCACCATCTTTATTGGGTTAATTTGCGTGCTCACTCCTGATTGGCTGGTGGGTGTTGCAGAAGTACAGTCAATTTGCATCTTCCTCTTTTATTAGTGTGGACAATAAGACATACAAAATACATGTTAATTGACTGTTAGCAGGGAGGCTCCGGTCAGAGCAGGGTCTTGGTAGTCACATGTTGGTTGAGTCAGAGACACGGATTTTTTTTACTGCTCTGGGGGTGCAGCGCCCCAACCCCACATTGTTCAGGGTCACCTGTGCCCTGGACACGAGTCCTCTGACCGGAACTCGTAGAGGCTCTATCCCTGCTCCCCGGGGTCTCCTGGGAATGGTCCCCGAGGTCTGAAGACGCGCTGGAAGGTGGGTTATGGCTGACTGCAGGCCTTGGGGTCCTGCAGGACATGCAGAAATTATTCCAGTTCCTGCCTTCCGTCTAGAGAACTGGTTGTCCCAGCCGCTGTCCCCGTGCCAAGTGTCACGTGCCAGGTGTCTGCCCTGAGGTCGCAGCCGGTGTCTCTCTCCCCCACCCAGGACACTCCTCCCAGGAAAGTCCTCCCTCCGCCTCCTTCCCGGAGCCCCCAGCTCTGCCGTGACCATTTGGAGCAACTTGCCCAAATGCCTTGAAAAATGGTTAAGCGTTCAGCTGTGATGACATTAAATCTACACACCAAATGGGGAACACCAACATCATTCATTCATTCATTTAAAAAATCTTATTGATTTCCGAGTGGAAGGGAGAGGGAGAGATACAAACATCCATGATGAGAGAGAATCATTGATCGGCTGCCTCCTGCGTGCCCCACACTGGGGATCGAGCCTACAACCCGGGCCTGTGCTTGTTGGGAGCCATCAGAGTTGAGACAAGCAACTCCGTCTTAAGAAAATACAACCCCATCTTAGAATTAAGTTCCTTCTAGCAGAAGTTATGCGGTGCCCTGCAGGTTTGGCCAGAAGCTAAAGATTATCCTGCCGCTTAGCACTTCTTGCTCTGGAGGATCTCTGCAACTCTCCTTCCTGATCCTCCCACATAGCTGGCCCGGCCTTGGAATGTTACTCCTTGGAATGTTACACTGCTCTACCACCTCGTAAACCAATTATGCACTGTCAAAGACCCCGTGCTGCATAGGCAATCCTGCCCCCCTTTGTTCCTGCTGTATATATACTGCTGTTCCAAAAATAGTTTGAGGCTTGATCAGAACTTTGTCTTGCCTCCATTTCTCCGTGCCCCTGTCCCTTCTTTTCATCCTCCACAGGTCCTCCCTCTCCCCACGCTGCTGTGCCCCGCCAGTCAGGGCATGTGCCCTTGACCAGAATCTAAACAAGGACTCTACAGTCCGCAGGCCGGTGTTCTATCCACTGAGCCCACTGAGCCCACCAGGGTAGGGCCATCCTTGCATTTTTAAATCCTCACTGAGGACATGTTCTTATCAATTTTGAGAAACACGGACGTGAAAAGATCATTGATTGGTTTCCTCCGGACTGGGGATTGAACTCGCAACCTAGGCACATGCCTCGAAGGGGAATGGAACCCACACCCTCAACGGAGCCACCTGGCCAGGGCAAAACGTGAGCATCTTCTCAACGTCGAGTCTTTTATCCAAATCTATTGACATAGGTTTTCTTGTAGGTCTTTCAAAAAAGTTTTTTAAGTAATTTTCTCCTAAATGTCTCACACATTTCTTAGATTTAGTACTTGGAACATAGAATTTGAGTTTTAAATTACATTTTCTAAGTTGTGTTGTTGTTGTTTTTCTGGTTTATAATAATTATATTTTAAAAATTCATTTTGTACTCAGACTCTTATTAAACTCGTGATAATTCTAAGACTTTATCAGTAAAAGTGAGGTCATTCCTAGCTCCTTCCAGATCAGGGGAGGGTGCCTTCAACATTCCACCCCTGGCCCGGTTTCCCTAAGGGCTCTTGGGTAATTGCCTCATTCCCAAAAGCTTCTTACAAACATGAATTGCCTACAGCTGCATGTTTTTTCTGCATTCCTTACAGTCGTGTTTTCTCCTTTAATTTGTTCATTCTGCGAATGACAACACATTTTAAAACGTGTAACTAATCTTGCCTTGGGGCTGGCCCGAGTTGGACAGACTCGCTTTCTTTGTTGCTGGGATGGGGTAAGACTGTGTTTTTCCATTCTTGCAGAAATCCCAGTTGGGGTTTGAACTCCATGTTACAGATTTGAGCTCGCAGATTTCCCTCTTGAAAAACCTGCATAGCGCCTGGCAGGCGTGGCTCAGGGGCCGAGTGCGGTCCCAGGAAGCAAGAGGTCACGGATTCAATTCCTGGTCAGGGCACCTGCTGGGGTAGCAGACTCCACCCCCCATGGTGGGGGGTGCAGGCGGCAGCTGACGGATGAATCCCTCTCTCATCAATGTTTTTCTCTCTCTCCCTCAATGATCAAGAAAAACCTATTTTGAAAAAAGAAACCATAGACGGCTCCTTGGTCACATGTTCACGGGCCTTTATTTCCTCACACATATACAAGTTACCTTAGATTCAGGCAATCCCAATATCTGGGGTTCTAGTCTGTTGTTTCTGTGGCTCCGATGGCGGAGTCTTTCCTTGGCAGAGTTTGGGAAAACTTGTTTCTAGCCTGAGGGTGCTGATTTCCCTTGGAACTTGCACTATTTTGCACTCAAGGGTCCCAGGTTCGATTCCGGTCAAGGGCATGAACCTTGGTTGCAGGCACATGCCCAGTAAGGTGCGTGCAGGAAGCAGCTGATCGGTGTTTCTCGTCAAAGTTTCTATAGAGGATTCATGGGGCAGTTTGCCCCGCCCCGGCCCTCCCCATTCTGGTTGCCCCTGTGGGGAAGCCAGGGCCCCCTCAGCACAGAGCTCCCCACTGGATTGCCCCGCCCTGAACTCCACCGTGGAAGCCGGAGGGACCTCTCCAGATGTTTGCCTCTGCCAGTGGCCGGGGCCTGCCAACCTGGGACCCCGAGATCCTGCCCTTGAGGCTGCAGGGCCACACGGGCAACTGTTCCACACGGAACTCGGGGCCGAGGGAGGCCGCCTTCCCTCTCCTCTCGTAGCCAGGTTACCCCGCTCCCCGAGGGCCAGCTTCACGGGGGAGGTTGCTTGGTGACAGCTCCCAGGGGCAGACCCAGGTCTCAGGGCCGGGGAGGGGAGGAGCGAGCCAGGGGAGGCGGGGCGGGACTTTCCAGCCAAGCCCATGGGTGGGAGGCAGGCAGCACAGAACCAGAGGGTTGGGCATGGGCTCCAGGCTGCAGCCCTGGGGCCTGGGTGTGCAGGTGCCGGGGTCAGGAGAGGACTCAGGGCAGGGGACCGTGGGCTTCCGTTCTGGAAGCGTCACAGGCTGCATTTGGGGAGCAGAGGGACCCCCAGGGAGGGCAGGCTCAGGCTCAGGCCTGGGCTCGGTTGGGGGACTGGCCATGGGATGAGAGGGAGGAAGGGAGGGGCAGATCCAAGAACCACGGGAGAGGAAGATTTGGGGAGCCCCGCAGGCAGGCCCTCTTGGCTGGCACAGGTGCCCTGTCTGCCTGGGTGCCCGCTGGAGCCTGTCCCGCCCTCCAGACCGGCTCCCCACCCCCCTGGGAGGACCGTCCCAGCCTGTCTGAGTCCCGAGCTCCCCTTTCTGAGTGACATTAGGTCTTCCAGCCCACACCTGGGCCAAGCTGGGTGGGAAGGAGGCCACAGCTGGGATTCCAAGGCCCTCCCCTCCCCCACCGGAGCCGCTGGTGACCACAGCTTGCCCTGGCCAGGGTGTCTGGGGACCCCAAGGCCCTGAGCCGGGTCAGATAGCTCTGTGGGCTTGTCTGGGTTGAGTCTTGGCCAGAAGGGATGACGGCTGAGCCATGTTGATTTGGGGCCCGAAGTCTGTGTGGAGGGACAAGCAGGCCCCACCCCAGGCACCTTCATCCATCCCAGGGTCCCTGGAACCAGGTACAGGCAGACCCCATGCCCCATCAGCACCATCCCCACTCCCTCCATCTGTTCCTGTTGAGGGGCTGGCCCCCTAGTCTGGGTGTCCTGGGTTGAGAGAGGTCACCTGCTTGGCCCTCAGGTGCCCCAGCCCACACCCCGAGGACCCCTACTCCCAGCTCCCACGTGAGACCTCAGGAGGGTGGGGGGGGGGAACTTCAGGATCCATGACCAGCATGCAGTGGTGCCCTCTGCTGGCTGCTGTCAGAAGTGCAGCCCCGCGTGAACAGGACCTTTTACTGGAGATGCCAGAGGGCGGGGCGACAGGCCAGCTGTAAACACGAGGCAGGCTGGACACCTGGACACCGGGAGGAGGGTCCGTGGGTCGGACGGCGAGAAAGGGGGAGCAGCAGCCTCAGGCTGAGCCCCCACATGGAGCCCTGGCCCAGGTCAGCCCCCGTCCCAGGCCAGGATGGACGGGCGTCCTAGAGCAGGCCCCTGCCGGCTCCACCTGAGGCTGGGGGCCCAGCCTGGGAGGCAGGAGAGCCGTGTCCAGGCCGGCGGGTGGCCGTCAGCCTGCGAGGCCGGGGCCGAGGGGCTCTGCCGGGCCAGTGTCCGGCCTCAGATGAAGGTGGAGTCCAGGGGCCCGGCGTCCTGCTGGCTGAGGGCTCGCGCCTCGAACAGCTGCTTGATGAGCGCCGACTTCTCCTGCTCCAGCTGCGTGATGCGCTCGCTCTTGTCCGTCACCTCCTGCGGGCGGGCGAGGGGCGGGCGAGGGGCGGTCAGGGCCCGCCAGGCGGCCAGCCACCCCGGCCCCCCACCCTGCACGCACCTCACCTGTGTGAGCAGCCGGTTCTGCTCTTTCAGCATCAGGATGGTCTGCTGCTGCCAGCCGGGCGCCGGGGGGGAGGCGGGGGCTGGGGCAGGGTCCGGGGGCCCCGAGGAGGCCGAGGGCACAGCCTACAGGAGGGGACCGTGAGGCAGGCGGGCACCCCGGCTCAGCCCCCCGGACGGGGCGTGGGGGGCCCGGGGACTCACCGTGCCGGCACAGGCCGCGGCCAGCAGCTCCCCCAGGCAGTGGGCCACCTCCTGCACCTTGGGCAGCAGATGCCCCAGCGGGCGGGGGCTCCCCTCGGCCCCGAACTCCTGAAAGCAAGCGGCGGAGGGGTGGTCAGCGAGCCGGCCCGCCGGGGACCGGCCACCGTGCCCTGAGGGGCCCCCCGTGGCCCTCCTGCCCCCACAAGTTCCTGCTCAGAACCGAGTCCAAGGAGCTGCTGGTCGGGGAGCGGTGCAGTGGGGGATCCCGGCACCCGGTGGAGGGACAGCCCCGGAGTGCGGAGCGTGGGTGGTGGCACTGTGTGGGGGGGTCACCCGCCTGGGGCCCGGCGGTCACTCACGGCGCTGGCCCGGCGCTGGCCCAGGCGGCGCTGGCGCTCCTGCACGCGCTGCAGCTGCTGCTGGTACCAGTCGCGGCCGCGGGCCATCATCTGCAGGCCCTGCAGCAGCACCTCCTTCTCCTGCTCCAGCTCCGCCATCTGCTTCAGCTGCCGGCGGGGCACACGCGTGCCGTCAGCGCACACGCGTGGTGCGGGCTGGCGTGCGCTCACCCGGCACGCCCTCCCCCGGGGTCCAGCCTTCCACACGGGCCTCCCGGGACCCGGGCCGCTGCCCGGAGCCCCAAGGCCCTCCTGAGGGGAGCGGTGAGCCTGGGGCCCGGCTGGGGCAGGGGCGGCTCTGGACAGGGGCCAAGCCAATGGCCACGCGCAGCCAGGCCCCGTGTCCCTGCAGGACTTCCTGCCTGGCCCTGGGCCCCTCCTGTCCTCGGGCGGTCCAGCGCGGGGAGGCGGGAGGTGTTGAGAACTGAGCCCATTCCTGTCACAGGCCACCCCTGGGACCCAGGCCCGGCCGCCCGCCCAGGCAGGGCGATGGTCCAGGAGACCCATCCCAGGCACGATGGGGGGCCCATCTCACCAGCTCACAGTCCACTCCGTTGGTGATGGTGTGCCTCCGACGCTCGCCCCGGGCTCGGGGGGCCCGCCGGGGGTCCCCCATGCCCAGCTCCCAGGCCCTGCAGGTCCCTGCACCTGCCGCAGAGCGAGGGCCTGGCTGGGCAGCTCCACCACAGCCTGGCTCCGGGCCCTCCTGACCTCGACCTCACTCCCACCCCCAGCAATGCAGAGCCCGTCCAGGCCTGCTGGCCTCTGGGGTCATCGCTTCTGGGGTCATCGGCAATTCGGAGCCTCTCTGGGCCCCTCCCCGTATCGGTGCAGCCCACCCTCACCTCTGTACGGGGCTGGGGTCTGGTTCCCACTGCCTCCCACCAGCTCCCCTCACACAGGCCTGGGGCCTGTAGATGCATGTCCGCACGTGACACACATGTGTACACACATGTGCAGGGCCTGGACGCTAAGGGCCAGGGCTTGCCCAGCCTGTCCCTGCACCTCCAGTGCCCACCTCGGGGCCGAAAGGCTGCAGGGGGGGGGGGGGGCTCTGGGCTCCTCCATCTCCTCCGTGTAGCCGGCCTTTAAGGGTGAGCTAACGGGGGAGCACGCAGGCCGTGGGTGGCGGGGACTTAACTTCCAGGCGGTCCTGCTCTGTGCAGTCCAGGTGCACCCACCACCCGACAGGAGCGTCTGCACCCCAAGTCCACCCGCAGCTGGGAGCCCAGGCTCCCTGAGAGCATCGTCCTGGAGGCCAGTCGGCTTCCATGGTGGGGTGAGGGGGGACAGGCGAGGGGAAGGGGGACGGGGAGCCTGTGCAGGGCCTCCCGGGAGGGGCGGGGGTGCGGTGTGGAGGGCCCCTCTCTGAGCTCCCTAGCACGGCCCACCTCACCAGCTCATCTGTAGAGGCCGTGGGCGTGGGTGCGTGATGCAAGGAGTGTGCCCGGCAGGGGTGTGCCTGGCAGGGGTGTGTCCGGCAGGGCGGCCAGGGGCTGGCACAGGTGTGTGGGCTGGCAGCCAGCCCGGCTCATGTCCAGGCGGGCCCAGTTCCCGTCCCAACCTGCAAAGCTGTGGCGGGAAGGTGCGGGGGGGGGGGGGGGGGGGGGGGGAGGCACACACCCCAGAACACCTGGGCCCAGGAACACTATCCAGGTCCCCACCTCAGCTCCCTGGCCGTCCCGCTGGGAAGCCCGTGGGCAGAGATGGGCGAGCCCAGCAAGGCTGGCGAGCAGCGGATGGCACTGCCCCGGGGCAGCCCCACATCAGCCACCCGCCCCTGCCCGAGGCTGGGAGCCTGCTGCCACCCCAGAGGCTGCGGTCTGTGCTCCTCCCCAGGCCTGAGAGTTCACCAGCTGCTGGCAGCCAGGCCGGGCCGCCCGCACTCACCCGCGTCCGCGCTCGGGCTCCGCTCCAGCGCCGCGCCCTGCGGCCGCTCGGGCTCCGGGCCGCCGGGCGCCGCCTCCGCCGGGGCGCACAGCCTCTCCGGGCTCCGGGCCGCGCCGCCGGGGCCGGCCGCCGGGGGGCGCGCGCCCAGCGGCAGGGGCTTCCGCTCCAGGAGGGTCCGCGGCTCCTCGGCGGCCGGGAACGCCAGGCGCTGCGGGGGCTGCGGGGGCCCGGGCCGCGCGGGGCCGCCTCCCCGGGCCGGGGCGCGCGCCGGGCCCCGCGGGCCGCCGTCGGCGCCGCCCAGCGAGGCGCGCAGGCCGGCCACGAAGCGCTCGAAGGTGAGGTAGCCGCTGGCCGGGGCCGCCCGCCGCAGGCCCTCCAGCACGCCGCGGGGCAGCTCGCGCGCGTCGGCGCCGCGCCAGCGGGACTCGATCTCGCGCAGGTGCACGTAGCCGCGCCGCCGGTCGTCCAGGATGTCGAAGAGCGTGCGCAGGCTCTGCAGGAAGGCGCGCGGCAGCCCCTCGGTGCCCGGCTCCGGCGCGGCGGGCGCGGCGGGCGGCGCGCGGCCCGGCTCGGCCATCGCGGCTCCGGCCATGGAGGGGCCGCCGGCCGGGCTCCGTCCCCGGCCGCCCTCGGCTGGTCCCCCCGGCTGGTCCCCCCGGCCGCTCCCGGCTGGTCCCCCCGGCTGGTCCCCCCGGCCGCTCCCGGCTGGTCCCCCCCGGCTGGTCCCCCCGGTCGCCCCGGCAGGTCTCCCCGGCTGGTCCCCCCCAGCCGCTCCCGGCTGGTCCCCCCCGGCTGGTCGCCCCGGCTGGTCCCCCCGGCCGCCACCGGCTGGTCCCCCCCGGCTGGTCCCTCCGGTCGCCCCGGCAGGTCCCCCCGGCTGGTCCCCCCGGCCGCTCCCGGCTGGTCCCCCCGGCCGCCACCGGCTGGTCGCCCCGGCTGGTCCCCCCGGCCGCCACCGGCTGGTCCCCCCGGCTGGTCCCCCCGGCCGCTCCCGGCTGGTCCCCCCGGCTGGTCGCCCCGGCTGGTCCCCCCCCCGGCTGGTCCCCCCCGGCAGGTCCCCCCGGCTGGTCCCTCCCGGTCGCCCCGGCAGGTCCCCCCGGCTGGTCCCCCGCGCACGGCCAGACGGCGGCGGGGCCCGGGGGCGCACGCAGCCTGTCCTGACAATAGCGGCTACTTTTTGAATGGGCCTCCGCGTGACGTCAGTGCTCATTAGCATGCGCGGCGGCCATTGGCCGAGGCCGGCCCATCTCCTCCCCGATTGGCTGCGAGGCCGCAGGCCCGGTTTGATTTTCCCGGAGAAGGGCCCCGGCCCGGCCGCTCCACCGCGGAACCGGGAGAGGCCCGAGCGGCGGGGCCGGGCGGCGGGGGCCCGAGCGGCGGGGCCGGGCGGCGGGGGCCCGAGCGGCGGGGCCCGAGCGGCGGGGGCCCGAGCGGCGGGGCCGGGCGGCGGGGCCCGAGCGGCGGGGTCGGAGCGGCGGGGCCCGAGCGGCGGGGGCCCGAGCGGCGGGGCCCGAGCGGCGGGGTCCGAGCGGCGGGGGCCCGAGCGGCGGGGCCCGAGCGGCGGGGTCGGAGCGGCGGGGCCCGAGCGGCGGGGTCGGAGCGGCGGGGCCCGAGCGGCGGGGTCGGAGCGGCGGGGCGGGCCCCCGTGCCCCTCCCTCCGGGCCTCCCGGGCTCCGTCCTCTCCATCGGCCGCTCGCCTGCCTCTCCGGGGGCGGGGCCGGCCCTCCCAGCACAGCCTGTCCCCAGGCGGCCCGGGCCTCTGGGGCCCGCCTTCCCCCTCCCGCTCCGCGGGCGCCCTTCGCCGGGGGTCCCGGCAAAGACACCGGGACTCCGGGGCCTCCTCCTCCCGCGCCAGGCGGGCCCCCAGGGGGTTGTGGGTCCAGCCAGCTGGGCGCATCCGCTCACAGAGGCCTCTCTGTCCCTCGGGCCGCGGGCCCCTCCCCCGGCCCCCGGGGACCGGCTGGCCTTTCCTGCCTGAGGCAGGACAAAGCCCCTTTTTCCTGTGTCCCCAGATCCCATCTGTGCCCAGCGCTCCCCGGCCCGAGGTCCCCTGAGGCAGCCTCTCCTCTGGCCGGACGCCCCTGCCAGCGGCTCTCACGGCCTCCCAGGCCTGGCCAGGCCGCCCTGCGCCCCTGGGGTCCCTGCTTCCTTCCCAGGCAGATCCAGTCACTGGTCAGTCCAGTGAACACGCTGGGGCTGAGCCTGCCGTCCAGCCCCGGGTGCCCATCTCTGGACTAAACCCTAGGACCCTCGCCCTGGCCGGCCGGGGTGGCCCAGTGGATAGAGCGTCAGCCTGCAGACTAAAGAGTCCCAGGTTCGGTTCTGGTCAAGGGCATGTATTTCACATCGATGTTTTCTGTGTGTGTGTGTGTGTGTGTGTGTGTGTGTGTCCCCTCTCCCTTCCACTCTCTCTAGAAATCAATGGAAAAAATCCTAAGGTGAGGATTCAATACAAATAAATAAAATAAACGGAGGACCCTCCTGGAGCCAGAGAGCTGCCCAGAGGCTGTCTGCCTGGAGCTCTGCCTGCCTTCTCCTCTGCCTGTCCTCCAGGACCCGCTGGTCCCCGTGCCCCTGCCTCAGTCTCCCCAGACATCCCCCGTCCCCTGCACTGGCCACCGGGCAGTCTCACGTGTCACCGGCTGCTTTCCAGGCAGACTGCCCGCCTTCAGGGGTAAATCAGTGAAGAGTTGCCCTCAATCCCTCCCCCAGACAGACCCTGGCTCAGGACTCCCCTTGGTCCCTCGGCTCCCTCAAGTCCGTCTTGGGTGGCCCACTCCCTGGGCCTCTGCTCCTTGGGCCCCAAAGTACTGGTGCCTGTGTCTCGGGTTATAGGGGCTATTGCTGGGCCAGGGAGTATCCTGGGCCCACGTCTCCCCTGGGGTACCCCTCCAAGGTCAGGGCTCCTCTGTGGTAAGGAATTCAGGGGACCTGGAAAGCTGGGAGTCGGGAGTCCTCCCCTGGAGCCTGGCCTGCCCCGGGCTCCCCCTCACGGCAGGACTGGCCACCGTCCCGGGAGCATCCCAGCCGTTTGCCCCCCAGTTCCCTCCCGCCTCCCCTGCTCCCAGCACCCCCGCCCCCCATGCCTAGGGCACCTGGCATCTCCTCACGTCTGGGTGCAGTTTGCCTGCCGACCACGGCCCTGGCTGACCACAGGAGGCACACCTCAAAACGCATCAGGTCCCTGACCCGCCCTCAGCCGGTGAGGTGCCCTGACCTCGAAGCCTGCTTTCTCCTTGCTGAGGGGGCGGCCTCCCCCATGTTCCTGTGCCCTTTGGGGGAGGGGGCACCCCAAGGCCCGGCATCGGCCCAGCCCGCAGTGGGTGCTCCGTGGCCGGCTGGCCGACACCAGAGGAACCTTATCCGGGGAGACACCAAGCCCGCTGAGGCCGGGACGGGAGGGCTGGGGAGGGCTCTGTGGAGGGTGCGAGCCGGCGGCCGGCAGGTGGTGCTGCTGCAGCCCAGGCCAGTGCAGCCGGCAGCCCTGAGCTCACTGAGCAGAGGAGGCGGACCTCGGGGGAGGCGCCCGCTGACACTTGGCCTGTGGGCTCCCGGTGGCCCCAGGCCAGCCCTGGAGGAACATCCAGAAGAAACTGGAACGGGTGCCGGCTCAGGGTGTGGGGCTCAGGTGTGGCCTGTGTGGTTCCAGCCCCAACTCTGATCACTTCCTCCTCCAGCCACTTTCCCAGCCTGCTCTGGGCCCTGCTCCATGAACCCTGGGATGAGGCCCCGGGCGAAGGGAGGGTGACTTCTGGGCAGGCGGCCCAGGAAACGGTCTGCCTGGCTGGCACGCGCGCCCGTGGGCGCCCGCCCGCCCAGGTGGCTGGCAGGTGCCTCCGGCGACAGTCCCAGTGGCCCAAACCTCCGATCACAGGCCACTCCCACCCTGAGGCAGGATTCGGGGTCCCCCGGGGCCAAGACAGGCCCCAAGTTCATGTTCTGACGCGGGGCTTCCAGGGCACCTGTGCAGGGGCGCTGAGAGTCCCCATGGCCCTGTCCCTGGTGCAGGCCTCTCTGCTCCCTCTCACACCCTCCACCGCCAACATCTGCCCCAACGGCCCTTCGCCGGCCACAGACCATTCACTCACTCACTCACTCACTCACTCACTCACTCACTCACTCATTCATTCATTCAGCAAGCCTCCCTGAGCACTTGCTGGGCTTGGGACCAACACCCTTTCATTCGGCCAACAGCACGGACTGGCCCTCCTGTGGGCGGGGCATTGACCGGTGATGGGCGGGCAGTGAGCCAATAGCCATCTCTCCTGGAGTTTCCTGGAGGGGGGCGGGGGGAGGAAGGCAGGAAGGCAGTTGGCCCCAATGCTACCTCTGCCCCTCCCACATACGTTACTTTTAAGTAATAAAACTACTTTCTAAAAGTATCCAAACGGCCTTAGGTACTTTGAAACTTGTGCCAGGGAAGGTCACAGACAGCAAGGCCAGGGTGGGGGAAGCTGGGCCATGGTTAGCTGTGAAGCCTGATGGTTAGACAGCGAGGCAGAGCCAGGGGCTGCTGGGAGCGACCAAGAGAAACCCCCAAAGGATGCAGGATGGCCTTGCTGGATGTGAGTGCAGCCGGTCCAGCCGCGAATCTGGCTTCCTCTGGGGCTGATGTCCCGGCTGCGAGGCGCCTTATTATTTTTAAAATATATTTTATTGATTTCTTTTACAGAGAGGAAGGGAGAGGGATGGAGAGTTAGAAACGTCGACCAGCTGCCTCCTGCACGCCCCACACTGGGGATATGCCCGCAACCACGGTACATGCCCCCGACCGGAATCGAACCCGGGACCCTTCAGTTTGCAGGCTGACGCTCTACCCACTGAGCCACACCGGCCAAGGCTGCGAGGCGCCTTAGTCAGTGCAAACAGGCAGGAGCAGGGACAGACCCTGCCTTCCCCCTGAATGCCCCCCCCCCTCGGGAGCGCCCCCTCCGGGCAGCGGGCACAGGGGTGGAGGGGTAGAGGGGTCCAGCACCTCCGGAAAGGGCTCCCCGACTCCAGGCCTCGGCGTTCCCGGCGCCCCGCCAGTCCCTCCGCGCACGGCTGCCCCCGGGCCCCTCCGGGCGGAGGGCGGAGTCGGGGCGCCGCATCCCGGGGGCCGGGCCGGGCCGGGCGGGGCGGGGCGCTGGGGCGGCGCCGCCCGCCGGTCCCGTGACGCCTGCCGGTGGGGCCGCGGGCGGGTCACGGGGCCGGTGGCCGGGCGGCGGCGGGGACATGGCCTCGGAGGCGGCGGTGCGCGCCCGGCTGCGGCGCGCGGGCCAGGAGCACCTGCTGCGGTTCAGCGCGGAGCTGGCGCCCGGGGCGCGGGCCGCGCTGCTGGCCGCGCTGGCGCCGCTGGAGCCGGGGGCGCTGCGGGAGCACTGCGGGCGCGCGGCCGCCGCCCGGGCCCGCCCCCCGGCGCCCCCGCCCGGCCTGGCCGCGCGCCTGCGGCCGCTGCCCCCCGAGCGCCTGGGCAGCGCCGCCCGCAGCGACCCCGCGACGCGGCGGCTCTGGGAGGAGGAAGGTGGGCGCGGGGCCGGCGCGGAGCGGGGGACGCGGGGCCGGCGCGGGGCGGGGGACGCGGGGCCCCGGCGGCCGGAAGGGGGGGCGGTGCCCGGAGTCAGTGTGTCGGTTGCTCCGTGGAGCCCGCTTCCCGCTCCCACACCAGCTCCCCGCCCCCCCCCCATGCTGGGCATGCGCAACCTGGCCGGCCGGTGCCCGCCCGCAGGCGTCCTGGCAGCCGGGACCCCCCTTCACACCCCTGTGGGCGCGGGTATTCCTGGGGTCTTGGCCTGGAGGCGAGGCGGTGTTGGTGGACAGTCGCCTGCTCAGCCTCCATCCTCCCTCCTCGCCCCTCACACCCCCCGGCCTGGTGGCTCTGACTGCAGGGCGGTGCGTGGCGGGTGTGGCGGCCCTCACCGCACCCCTGCCTCCAGGTCTGCGCCAGATTGCCCTGAACAAGGTGGCGGTGCTGCTGCTAGCCGGCGGGCAGGGCACGCGCCTGGGCGTGGCCTACCCCAAGGGCATGTACCAGGTGGGTCTGCCCAGCGGGAAGACGCTGTACCAGCTGCAGGCGGAGCGGATCCGGCGGGTGGAGCAGCTGGCCGGCGGGCGCCACGGGACGCGCTGCACGGTGCCCTGGTGTGTGTGCCCTCCCTGCACGGCTCTGGCCCCCGGGGGAGTCCCCCACGGGCCCGGCTCTGCCCCCCAAAGCCCCGCGTCGCCCTGGACAGCACCCGGCGTCCACCAGAGGGCCCCGCAGCCGGCCCTGTGGACGGAGCGGCCCTCCTAACGCCCACTCGCCCTCCCGCAGGTACATCATGACCAGCGAGTTCACGCTGGGGCCCACGGCCCAGTTCTTCGAAGAGCACGGCTTCTTCGGCCTGGACCCCGGCAACGTGGTCATGTTCGAGCAGCGCATGCTGCCCGCCGTGGCCTTCGACGGCAGGGCCATCCTGGAGCGGAAGGACAAGGTGGCCATGGCCCCAGGTGCGCCCGCTCGGCCAGCTGCGGGGCGGGAGCTGGGGCCGCCTGAGGCTGTGCGGGTTTGGGGAGCGGGGCCTCCCTGTCCGGTCTCATTGCCGCGCGTCACGGGCAGAACCGCAGGCCTCCCTGGGCAGTGAGGGCGCCTCGGGGCGCCAGGTCCAGCCCGCGGCCGGGGCCTCCTGCCTCCAGCCTGGGCAGCGCGCTGGGACTCAGCTGGACCCTCACGGGGCCCCCTCCCTCCGCAGACGGCAACGGGGGCCTGTACTGCGCGCTGGCCGACCACGGGATCCTGGAGGACATGGAGCAGCGGGGCGTGGAGTTCGTGCACGTGTACTGCGTGGACAACATCCTGGTGCGGCTGGCCGACCCCGTCTTCATCGGCTTCTGCGTGCTGCGGGGTGCAGACTGCGGCGCCAAGGTGAGCCGGCCGGCCCCCTGGCCTCCCCCGGCCTCCCGCAGCCCGCAGGCCCGCCCGCCCCAGCCCCAGCCCCAGCGCCCAGCGTGCCTGTCCTGGCCGCAGGTGGTAGAGAAGGCGTACCCCGAGGAGCCGGTGGGCGTGGTGTGCCTGGTGGACGGCGCCCCCCAGGTGGTGGAGTACAGCGAGATCAGCCCCGAGACCGCCAGCCTCCGCACGCCCGGCGGGGGCCTGCTGTACGGCGCCGGCAACATCTGCAACCACTTCTTCACCCGCAGCTTCCTGCAGGCGGTCACCAGGTGAGCGGGCCGCCTGGGCTGCAGTCGGCACGGCCGGACGTTGGGGTGGAGAAAGGTTCCTGGCGTTTAAAGAAGCCAGAGGGCCCGGCCGGCGTGGCTCAGTGGTAGAGTGCTGACCTATGAACCAGGAGGTCATGTTTGACTCTCGGTCAGGGCACCTGCCTGGTTTGCAGGCTCAGATCCCCAGTGGGAGGCATGAAGGAGGCAGCCGATCGATGATCCTCTCTCATCATTGATGTTTCTATCTCTTCCTCTCTCTTTCTTCCTTCCTGAAGTCAATAAAAGAAATTATAAAATGAAATATTCTTCTGCCTTTAAACAAATAATAATCCCTATATATAAAAACCCAGGGAGGGGGGGGGGCAATGTTAAAATATGTACACAGATAATAATCTAATTAAAAACAAAAACAAACCAGGGACCACAAACATCCCCAATGACCGAAGGCTGGACTGACCGGAAGTCAGTGCTGCAGCCTGACTGCCGAGGGGGCTTCGGATCAGGCCTGGAGAGAGGCCTGAAGAGAGAGGCAGCCTCTGGCCCACAGCCTCTGTGGAAACTGTCAATCAGCCATTGCCTCTCTTTCTCTCTGGGCCTGGCCAGCAGCCTCGCCTCCATTTCTCTCCAGGCCTCCACAGGGGCTGCTGATCAGCCCCACCTCTCTGATCAGGCCTGGAGACACTGACTGGCATAGAAACCGACCAATCAGAACCAAATTGGCCAGCAGGGGCGGGCCATTGAGTGCAAGATCAGACTGGCAGGGGAAGGCAGTTAGGGATGATCAGGCAGAGACAGTTAGGGGTGACCAGGCAGGCAGGCAGGCAGGTGAGCAGTTAAGAGCCAGCGGTCCCAGATTGCGAGAGAGATGTCCGAATGTTGGTTTAGGCTCGATCCCCACAGGCCAGGCTGAGGGTCCCCACAGGTGCAAGAATCCAAGCACCAGGTCTCTAGTGATAATAACAACAACAACAAATAAGCCAGAGGCCCCAGAGCCCAGCAGGCTCCGGCCAGGTGGCTGTCCCTCCTGTGGTGTGTGTCCACCCAGCACCACCTCTGCCTCAGTGGCCCCCTCACCTGGGCAGGGAGGAGGGTGCCTGCTCTCGGGCCAGGGAAGGGGCGGGTCCCTGTGCCCTCCAGAGACCCTGCTCGGCCCCCACCACCGGGTGCCCTGCAGGGCCACCTGCCCCCGGCCCCTGGCTGGGCGCCCTCGGGGTCCTGTCTGACCCGCCCGCCTCCCCCGCCCTCCGTCCCGCAGGGAGTTCGAGCCCCTGCTGCAGCCCCACGTGGCCGTGAAGAAGGTCCCGTACGTGGACGAGCAGGGGAACCAGGTGCAGCCGCTCGAGCCGAACGGGATAAAGATGGAGAAGTTCGTGTTCGACGTGTTCCCGTTCGCTGAGTCAGTGGCCGCCGGCTTTTCCATTTGTCCCGGGCGGGCGGGAATGTAGAGGCTGAGGTGGGGGCGCAGTGGGGGCGCCCCCTCATGGTGGGAGCGGGGGGGGGGGCTACAGGCAGGTCTTGGGGAGAAGGCCGGAGGAAGCGGCCCCTGGAGGGGGGGCGTAGGGAACATTGGGGGCCGTGGAGTTTGGGGGACACCTGGCCCCTCCGGAGCCCTCGTCTGTGGTCTCCAGGTCGGTGCCGGGGCCCTGCGGGACTCCAGGCCGCACATGCTGCTCCGGAGCGGGGCCCGTGGGCCGGGACGTGGGGTCACCAGCTCTCCCCGCCCCCCCAGGAACTTCGTGGCCTTCGAGGTGCTGCGGGAGGAGGAGTTCTCCCCTCTGAAGAACGCCGACGCGGCCGACAGGGACAACCCCACGACGGCCCGGCGGGCCCTGCTCGCCCAGCACCTCCGCTGGGCCCTGCAGGCCGGGGCCCGCTTCGTGGACGCCCACGGGGCCCCGCTCCCGGGGCTGGCCAGGTGAGGGTGGGCCCCGCGCGGCCAGACTGGCTCCTCCCCCTCCCTGCAGCCTGTGGCCCCGGGGACGGTCTGCTCGGGCGCCCGGGAGTGGGGAGGACGCAGCCTCACCCGGCTCACTCGGAACTTTGAACCCGGGACCCAGGCTGGGCATTCAGAGGGCGGCGGGGGAGCTCCTCTTTAGGGCCCGGAGAGAAGAGAATGTTCCATTGCTCTCTCTCCGGTCGCCCACAACCACCCCCTGAAGCTGGGGTCGGGCTCTGGGAGGGATGCTGTGGACAGGGGGTCGGGTTCCAGCCACTCGGGGGCTGTCACTCGGGCAGGGGCAGCGTGCTCAGGGCTCGGCGTCCCCGGGTAGAGATGACCGAGAACAGGACTGTGGGGAGCTGGCTGTGCTGGTCAGCCTGCTGGGCCACAAGGACAGGGCCAGCTCCCATGGGCGGGGCTGGGGCCGGGGGGTGCCCCGAGCAGATGCTGACAGTGGCCCCCTCAGCCCCCTCAGCGGTGGAGAGCCTCCGGCCGTCTGCGAGATCTCGCCGTTGGTGTCCTATGCTGGAGAGGTGAGCGTGCCTGGTGACCCTGGCTCTGGTGGGGTCAGGCCTGCCCGGTCGGGGCAGGGAGACGGTCCGGGGAGAGGGGGGTCCGTGGGCGGAAAACCACAGCTCTGCCTCCTTTCACCAGGTGGACAGTGGGTCCTTAGGTTGCAGGGACCTTCCTGGACGTGAGATGGGCGGGAGGGATCCCTGGAAGGTCCTGGGAGGGCAGTGCAGGGAGAAGAGCCGGGGTGGCCTCCTTAGTGAGGTGTGCCCGCCCTTCCCCTCGGGGTGAGCCTGCGGGGAGGGCTCCCACTGGCCTGCAGTCTTGAGGTGACACCTGACCCCTGTTCCTGGAAGCCCTTCCCCCGCTCCAGGCAGAATTGGGACCTTGGGGCGCCTCCTGGGGCCACGAGGTGGACACTTGGCCTGTCTCCAGGGTCTGGAGGTGCACTTGCGAGGCCGGGAGTTCCAGTCCCCTCTCATCCTGGACGAGCACTGGATCGGGGCATCGCAGCCGTGACGCTCGGCCCCGCCGGCCCCCGGGTCCCAGGGCGGGTGGGTGCGGCCCTGGCCCGGGGCTCTGGGTGACTTCTTTAGGGGGGGCTGCCCGCTTCCTGGCAGCTGAACCTGTAACGGGTGCACCTGGGGGCGCACAGCCCAGCCTGCCGGCCGAGGCCGACGGCAGAGGCCTCACTCGTCACCACGAAGGCTGGCGGCACCGGGGACAGAATCCTGTCCATTCCCTGCGAGGCCTCAGCCCTCTGCCACGTCTGAGGCCGGTTGGAGCTGCTGAGGGTTAGATGCTGCCCCCAGAACCTGTGGGACCAGTGCTCGGCGTCCTGTGCTGGACACTAATCTGGAACTTAACCAGATGGGGGCGCCATTCCTCACCCCGTCTGCCAGCGGCTTCCGGTCTTGGTGCTCACACTCCTCCCCTGCTCTACAAAGGGTCTGGGCGCAGCCTCCACACTTGGGACCACAGCACCCTCCCCGCATCCCCACAGCCTGGCTGAGGCGGGGGGGTGGGGGGGACGGGACGGACGACGACGACACAAAGGACAGCTCGTCCCGGCTCTGCTGCTCTGGCCCCAGCGTCTCCTTCCCCTCTGGACTCGGCCCGGGACCATCTACCTCCCCGCTGACGGGAAGAGCAGTCGCTGCAAATCCCTGCCCCTGCCCTCCCTGCACAGCCCCTTACGAGCCTGCAGGGAACGCCGGGTTCCCCAGGTGAGGGCGCTGGCATAACAGCGGGGTCAGGTGCAGCTGATTTCTCCAGGGGCTTGGCGTGGAAGGCGGCTTCTCTGTGCATTGCCACCACCTGGGCACCGTGGCTGAGTCAGGGCCACGCCCAGGTCTCCCAGTCTCTTGCAAATCTCAAAACCAAATCATGTGCCTTAGGATCCTCTTCTCAGCAGCTCCACAGGCGAGCGGGAGCCAAGGGCACAGGGTCCACCTGGCGGAGGCCCAGGTCCGGGTCCTGCCCAGAGCTGCTCACGACCAGAACTGGAACCCGGAACACAGCACAGTCCCTCTGATGAGTATCGTTTTCCGGGCAAACGATAGAAACAGCTCATGTAGAAACACACATATTTTCAGATAATTCTATTTTCAGATAAAGTTTCAAAGCAGCTGCCCTTCACCGAGTTTCCCACAACATGGGCAGCTTCAGTGGCTCCAGGACGCCACCACCAGGATGCGAACTCTGGCGCTTCTCACCACTGTGCCTCCCTGTGCCGCTCTGTGTTCTGGAAGCTGGGTGGTGCCTTTATCTCCAACCCCAGACAACTGCTAATGAAACAACTGTGTTTGAAACATCGCCAGAGTCTTGTTTTTTTCTTGCACAAGGTGGAGGGGAATAACCAGTAAACCACGTGCTGTGGTGGCCCAGCATATATGGGGGGACAGCGCCGGTGTACACGGCTCTGTCCGTCAGCCGGACCCGCCCTGGGCGGACGAGGAATCCCTCCTGCTTAAACAGCCCTGCTTCCTATGAGGAGGGTGGGGGGACTTGCAACCACCCAGTGGGCCGGGCCCCTAGAGAGAGGGCCCAGACCTGCCCCTTGAAGGAGCTTTCCAGGCCAGGCTCCTGCGTTTCCAGGTCTGAGACCGGTGACTGCGCCCTCCTGCCCCTGCATCCTCCAGGAGCCGCCGTTCCTGCTGAAAGCCGGCTGGGCGGGGAGGGATGCTTGATGGCGACGCCAGAACTACCCGCACAGCTGTGTGCGGGAGGAGACCTTCCGGGACCGGAGGGGTGGCCCCAGAAGGGAGCTCCCTGGGACAGCTCACACCAGTCAGGGGCCCAGCTGGCCGCGCACACGGCGGGGAGCCTGCAGGCGCCGGGATAGGTCCCAGGCACGGCTGCCGGGCGCAACGGCGGGCCCCGAGCGGAGCAGGTCCCGAAGCAGCGGGCGGTTCTGCTCCGGGTGGGACAGAGCCCCGCCGGGTGCGGAACCGCAGGGCGCCCCGAGGACCCGCCTGTCCGAGGGATGGAAACCCCGCGGCGGGTCGCCGTGACAGTGAAGGCTCCATCCAGGAGGCTGCACCGCCCCGGCCCCGCGCGAAGGTGGCGGAGCGGCCGGCCGGTCTTCACCGACCACAGGCCTCGGTGCACACGGGCTCCGCTGCGGACGCTGACAGCCCGGCCCGCCTCCCAGCCGAGGACACGCCCACACCCAGGCGAGAGGTGCGCAGGCGCGGGACAGGGCCGGCGTCGCAGGCGTGACGTCACAGCCAGGCGCCGGAGTAAACAGACACAGGTGTCCGGAAACGTCAACTCGGAGTCCGGCGCACGCGCACTGAGGTGAGCAGGGCGCGGCGCACGCGCATTGGCGGCGAGCGCGATGGGCGGGGTGTTGCCCGAGCTGCGATGGCTGCCCGCTGGTGTCCCGGGATCCGAGCCTCCGGCCGCCCGCACAGCCCAGCCTCTTGACACCGCCCGCGGGCGGGCCCCCCCGGGCCGCCTCCGCCGCTGTCATGTATGCGCCCGCGTCGCCCGCGCCGCGGCGGGACTTCATTTCCGTGACGCTGAGCCTTGACCAGAGCGACGACGGCAGCAAGACCCGGCGGCGCCGCTCGTGCTGGCGGGTGAGGACGGCCCCGCGGCCCCTGGTCTCCGCCCCGCACGCCGCCTCGGGCCGGAGGCGCAGGCGCTGACCCCGGGAGGGGGCCCTGGTCCCAGCTGCACTGTCCGCGGGCCGAGCCCGGCGGCCTGGGCGGGGAGGGCGCCGGGCAGGGCGGACGCACCCCCAGCGGGTTCCCAACGGAAACCTGAGGTTCCCCATTAAGCTCTCCTGCGGGGCCGGGAGCAGGAGTGCGGCCACTTTGAGCCCCGGGGCGTCCCCAGCGGACGCGGAGCGCCCACACGCGTCTGGGCGGGGGCAGGTCCAGCGGGGCCTGAGCCTTCCACACCCCTCTAAGACAGAAGCCCACTCGACGCCCGTCTCCCTCCTCGTCCTACCTGCCTCAGTGCGTTCTCGCCCCAGTATCCAGCCCAGCCATCAGGAATCTGCCCCCAAGCAGCCAAAATGGAACGGCCCCGGGACCTCAGAGCCCTCCTTGTCCTCAGCGAGGCTGTCCCCGGGGGAGGGTCCCACGTGTGTTCTGTCCAGTGAAAGGGCCCCTCCCACCCCGCCTCAGACATGGAAGCAGCTGTCCAGGCTCCAGCGGAACGTGATCCTCCTCTTCCTGGCCTTCCTGCTGTGCTGTGGGCTCCTGTCCTACCTCAGCGTGGCCGACCCGTGGACAGGTACCCGCCCGGGAGCCCGGGGGCTGCGGAGAAGCCGAGGCAGCAGCGGCTGAGACAGCCCGGGAGCCGTGAAGGGCAGGGACTGGGCAGCACACCCAGGGGAAGGGGCGTTGTGTCCCCAGCCTCCTGGCTGGACACGGCGTGGCTGCGAGTCCTCGGGCTGCTCCCGCGTCTGCTGTGGGCAGGTGTCCGCCCGCCCGCTGCCCTGAGGCGGAGGCTCGTGGTCAGCGCACCGCTGTGTCCGGAAAGGAGGAAGGACGGCTGGGAGCTGGGCGGGTGCAGGGACCCCCCCGAGGCGCCTGAGCTGCGGGTTTGACAGGAAGCTGACAGGCTGCTGCGGGCCCAGAGTCCTGCCCCGAGTGGAAACGTCCGGGCCACGCCGTGGGGCTGTGGGTGGGGGTGCGGACAGACAGCCACGGGCGGGAGAAGGGGCTCTCTCTCCGGCTGCTCTTGATGGCACGTGGGGGCCGCCTGGGCCTGAGGGTCCTTGGTGAGGAGGCAGGAAGCAGGCGGGGTGTCCAGGGAGCTCTGAGGTCCTCGGGGCCTGGGCGCTGGAGCTGAGGCGGGCCTCTGGTTCAGCCCCGCATGGCAGGCCGGCGGAGGAGAAGGGGAGGCCCGCACACCCGCCCGTCTTGCCGGCTCCTCGGAAGGCAGATGCCGACCTGGGACAGGGCCCGCGGCCGCCGCCTCAGGTACGTGGCACTGGTGTGGTCAGGCGGGCACCGGCTCGGTCCCAGAGGCCTGGGGACGGGACGCGGGTTCCCGCCGATGGCCAGGACTGTTCCCGCATCTGATGGGCGTCTCCCCCTCACACATCCGGGCGGTCGGGCGGGTCTCCCTTCCACCTGGGCTGTGTGCCTGCTGCTCCCGGGCCTGGGTTTGGTGGTGAACAGGGCAGCCCTGTCCTCTCCCTGGGCCAGGGCAGCCTCTCTGAGGACAGGACCCGGAGCAGCACTTTGGGGGCTGTGACCCAGCAGGGTCCGGACGGGGTAGGGGCCAACGAAGGCCAGGCCAGGCCAGGCCGGGCCCTGTGATTCCTGGGCCTGTGACAGCAGAGACGCTCCAGGCAGGGCTTCGCCCTCACCCAGGGACACCAGTGTGTGCAGCCTCACCAGGCCGGTCAGGGTCAGAAGACGGGGTGAAAGGCCCCCCGATCTGCGGGCCACTGAGGAGGAAGAGTCCAGCGCGAGCCCAGCCCGGGGGTTGGGTCTGATGGGGAGGCTGGTGGACGGAATGGCAGCCTCTGGGCAGGGAGCTCCTCTCACCAGCGACCTTCCCGTTGTGTTTGCCTAGAAGCCCCAGAGGCACGGGCGGCGGGGCCCCCCCGACCTGCAGATCAGAGCACCCCGCAGAGTCGCGGAGGACGGCAGGAGGACGGACCAGGCGGCGGAGGAGGGTCTGCAGGGAGAAAGCCCGCCCAGGACGGTCGTCAGGTAGCAGGAGCCGCAGGGAGCGCCCAGGAGGCTGCCCGTGGCGTCCCTCCTGCAAACAAGCAGCCGGGACGGTGTCGGGCTGACAGACAGTCCACGCCCTCCTGCAGGGGGTTGGGGGCGGGGGACTGGGCCCCGCCCTGTGCTGCTGACCTCCTCTCCCTGCAGCTGGCGGGGAGCAGTGATAGAGCCGGAGCCGGGCACTGAGGCTCCTTCCCGGAAGGCGGAGGCCCCCGACCGGCCCTCCCCGCAGGCCCCCAGGATTCAGAACCAACGAGGTGAGCCCCCACCCCTGTGGGCCACACCTGGCATCCTGAGGGCGAGGGCGGTGCACACACAGATGCGTCCCTGGCGGGGCGCACACTCCCCGTGGCCCGGCAGGTGGACGGACAGGCCTGGTGGGCGTGGGCCGAGTTTCTCGTGAGGCCCTGGCGCCTCTCCCCCCGCACAGCCCTGCCCGGCCTGAGGGTCTCACTCGGGCTGCTCCTGGCCTTCATGCTGCCCGCTGCGGCCTGTGGCCCTGGACGGTGCTCCCAGCACATCAGCCTCCCTGCCTGGGGCCCCAGGGGACTCTCCCCCTGACCAGGTCCCGCCCGACCCGCTTCCCCTGCAGCCGCCCCTAACGAGCGCCAGCGGGCCGTCATCGACGCCTTCCGCCACGCGTGGGCCGGGTACCGCAAGTTCGCCTGGGGCCACGACGAGCTGAAGCCCGTGTCCAAGTCCTTCAGCGAGTGGTTCGGCCTCGGCCTCACGCTGGTCGACGCCCTGGACACCATGTGGATCCTGGGTCTGAAGAAAGGTACCTGTGCCCGCTCCCGCCGCGCGCCCTCCGCAGAAAGGGGGACAG